CAGTAGTAAAAGCAATGCAACAATCTATATGAGTAAATAAATAGCACAAATATTGTTCATATTCATATTTATAATTATAAATATCGCTCTTTACGGTTGCGCGATGCCATCCTTTATAAGTATGATTAAAAACTCTTCTAATATAATGCACAAAGTGAGGGTTAGAAGGGAAACTATAGGGTAAGCACATAACAGTAACCATTTTTGCCAATTCTTCACGATCTTTATTTGGATCATAATATAAAATGCCACCGGTAACAGTGTTAATTTTCGGTTGAACTAGATTTGACCCTGTACTAGGGTTAACCTCAGCATCTAAACTTCTACCCTCTTGCTCAACTTTCATTTGTAAATATCTAGATTTATCTCTAGGGTGTTTCTTTATGTGTCTAGTCAAAGTACCTGTACCGCTACGGTCTCCAGTATATTTATGAGCTATCAAATACAAACAAGTTTTGCACTTAAACTTATTTGTTCTCTTAGTTGAGTAAAAAAGTGCCAAACAAGAGATGTTTCTGTCCATTTAGAAGGTTGCCTATTAAAAGCAGGGGTTACTACAGGAGGGTCAGGCGGGGCATCATTTGGATTATTATTAGTTGGGTTATTAACAGGACAAGTAGGTATATCATCTAAATACGGTTGTGTTTCATCTAAATCATCATTTTTCTCATAATTTTCAAAGATAGTTTGATTAGGATAAAGAGCATTCATAACTTCATCATTTAATTGTTGACCTGGTGCAACATCATGGCAAAATTGACTATCGAAAAATTGAAAACAAGGGTTATCACTATCAATAATAACAGGTGGAGGAGGACGGGTAATAAGTCTGGGTCGGGGAGCCGGGGGAAGAGTAGTAGCTTAGCGACTAGATTCACCAATTTTAGATTTTCCCTTACCCTTACTACCAAATATTTTTTCAAAGAAAAGTCCATATTAATTATAATTACACAAACTAAAACAAACAAAAATATAATATTAAAACTTAAGAGTTGGAACGAGTTTACCGAATTGACGAACAACTTCTTGAAAATTGAATATCGTTGAAGACTTGAA